CCCCCCGGGTGGTGGTGTCCTTCTAGAGCCCTGCCGGTGCCCTGGCGAAAACTGAGCCACGAGACTGAGCGCATGTGTAGACCGGAAGGGGACCTAGGAGCAGCGTAAATGTTTTTCACGGACACACCTAAAAGTTGGCGCTTGAAAGTCACCCAGCAGGACTGTGGAAGGGAGACGTAGTGGTTAGCATCTGTTAGAGGAAGATTCAGACGAGGCAGGCCCATTGCTGTCTGGCAATTCCCGCATATAGCATCCTATACAGACTATGAGCGCACAGCCAGAAACCTGGACAGTGGGGTGATTTTCCGTGTACTCTGACCCAACCTTGCTGGGCTCTCGTCCTTTCAGGTGCAGATTGCCAGCACTTTCTCCCTAGGAGCAGCTCCTTTGTCCAGACTGCCGACCCTTAACCATTGACCCTCCAGGGATCCTTTAACCTCCCCGCCCACCCCAACCCCAACCAAGAAACCTAAACAAACAAACCCACTGAGCCAATTCTAACTCGTAGTGATGTTACAGCCCCCTTTTTTCCAAGGTCATCATCTTTATAGGAGCAGACCGCCACAGCTGTCTCCCGTTGAGCAGCTGCTGGGTTTGAATCACCAACCTTTGGTTAGCAGTTGAGCGCTTGCTTAACCACTGTGCCCCCAGAACTTCTTTAGAAAATGTTTGTCCACGGGGATTTCCATATTGAGACCAGGGAAAATGTGAGTTTCCTCCACAAGACCTAGCTTGGTGCAGGGCGTGTGGTGGGAAGGACCAGCGCTGGTTATTGTCAGGTTGACCACAGGAGCCCTGGGAATGCTGTCCACCAAGGCCCCATGTCCACACTCCCAGCATTAACTGCCTCAGAGCAGGCAGCTCAATCCATGGGTGTGCCTCCCTGCACAAACACCCTGTCTTCTAAGGCTTCCCTGTTGACGTAAAGAGCCCTTTTATAAAGTGTGCTGCTTTAGGGAACTCTCTCCCTTTAGCCCTTTTCTGTGCTTACAGATGAGCTCAGTCTTAGAAAAACTGGTTGTATTTATCACCTTGTTTAGTCAAGGTCAAAGGCCATTTTACATCATCTAACATGTTCCTGTCTGCCACGTTTAATGAGAAGTTTATTTCAGTGTATGTAATCCAGCCTTTATTGTTGGAAATGCCTGGTTTCAACCACCCTCTAACAAGTGATGCGGGCAAGAACCTCCTTAGCAGTGAATCTCTGGACACATGCCTAATAGTTCCTTATGCTGAACTTCTGCTGCTTTTCTCTTTGTGAGCTAATTCCCGGGACAAGAAGACACTATTTTATCCTCAGTGCCTGGTCTCCGCCTGGCCATTTTCCTTCCCAGCACTGGACTGAGACAAGCAAGCATGCTTCTCCAGGTAACAGAATGACCTGCTGCCTCACGGTTGCAATCTGCCGTTCCCCAGGCCTTCTGTGAGGAGCTGGAGTCCATGATCCAGGAGCAGTTCAAGAAGGGGAAGAACCCCACCGGCCTGCTGGCCCTACAGCAGATTGCAGATTTTATGACCACCAACGTCCCGAACGTCTACCCCGCAGCCCCACAGGGAGGGATGGCCGCCTTGAACATGAGTGAGTCCTTCCTGACCGTCTTCTGGCATCTCCTCTCAGGGCTGCCTTAGGCCCTTGTACTTAGGGAGTGCACGGAACTGAGTATTGTGGCAACAAATGTGTTTCAGTCCTAGAAAATCAGACTGTATACCTAAGAATCTCTAATGGGAAGGAGACGGCTTTTACAGGGACTAAAGCCAGGTCAGCAGACCCACGCTTGCAGAGTAGCACATGTGTTTTGCTGGCCCTCTGGCAGCTGGACCAGCATTTCTCACCCAAGCCGGAGGCCATTGGTCGGTGGGTGGGTGTGAGCTGGGCTGAGTGGGGCTTTGCCAGAGCGGTTTGTCTGTGTGACGTCAAGGGAGGTGCTGAATGGTGTGGGGTGGCATCTGATCTCTGACATCACCAGAGGAGGAAGCAAGCTCAGTGTCAGCCCCAGTTGATCATTTCCCATGGCAGCCTCCACTTCACCCTGCCATAATGCCCCTGACACCAGCCCTCCCTTCCTTGGCTGGGCCTGATAGTACACTGCCATGGCCACCCTGAGCCCACAGACAGCGCTCATGAGCAGGGCGTGTACTGGGGACACGCACAGGCTGCAGGGCCAGATTCGATTTTCAGGGCTCAGCAGCCAGTCTTTCTGGTCAGGAGCACGTCTTTCAGCTCTGCTCTTGGCCTCTTGGTCACATGGCACTTTGGCCAACGCTCCTTTAGCGTTGCCAGTCACTGCCCAGCCTCTTAGCATCCTACAAGAGGGGGAGAGCAAAGGAGGATGGGGCTTGCTGTCGGGCAGTTGACTGTCCAGTGATGATCTGAAATGTAAGCCCCACCTAGATCCTAACAGGAAGAGTAGGTATAAAGCCCCGCACAGGCTGCTGACAAGTGGGCACACGCTGGCGCTGATGGCCACCGCTGCCCTCTCTGCGCCTCCACTTCCGCATCTCTTGGGGAGCCTACCTGTGGCTTTTCCCAGACTGGCTTTGTGGCCCGACCTGGAGGAGGAGCCATGGCTCCAGGTTATCATTGGCTTTGGCAGGCGTGGTGACCTGTCAGCCTTGTCTGCTGTGTTTCAGGTCTCGGCATGGTGACGCCGGTGAACGACCTGCGAGGCTCCGACTCCATCGCCTACGACAAAGGGGAGAAGCTGCTGCGCTCCAAGCTGGCAGCTTTCTACAGATTAGCAGACCTCTTTGGGTGGTCTCAGCTGATTTACAACCACATTACGGTGCGTGTGTGGGGGCTGGGGGTATGGGCGTCTGCAAGTGGAGGGGTGGACCCTGGCTGTCCAGCACCTCCTTCATCCACGTGGCCAGCCATGTAGATACTGAGCCTTCCTATTCCTGACTGCCGAGCACAGGCACTTGAACACCAGCCTCCCAGGCACCAGTTATGAGGATGCTCGTCCCCTCCCAGGTCATTGTCTTCCTGTGCTCACCTCATGGTGCCATCACTCCTCGGGAGTTTTCAGAATAGCCCCCTGCCCTGACCAGAGCCTTCTCTCTCACATATGCTCATCTCCCAGCTCTCCCTGGGCCTCTGTTCCCTAAACCTCAGTCTTGCGCACATGCTCCCTGGGTGTTCAGCGTACAAGGGTGTTCTCCAGGTGTTCAGTTCTCGAGGTGTTCAGCGTACAAGACCAGTCCTGCCCTGGGGGCTCCATCCGCACCCCTGGCCTCCAGCCACTGCTCACCCCTGCTTTGTCCAGCTTGAATTTCCTGGTCTGGCAGCTCAGTTACACCCTCTTCAGCTCCCTGCCACCCCCACTGCCTTCCCCACCCCCACTCTCTTCCCAGTGAAGAGAGCTGAAACAAAGCTCTTGGCATCTCCACAGTTCACGACAGGCCTGCCTGGCCCCTGGAGGACTCACTGCTCCACGGGGCTTCACAGCAAAAGATAAAAGACCGTGGCCTTGTCCCACAAGCTGCTTGAACGCTCCTCGTGCTCTCTACAGTCCTCAAAAGCCAGGCCTCCTGCATGCTTTCAAGACTGCCGGTGGGGCCTCCTCACCCCTCTCTGTACCTCCTGCCTGAGGTTGAGCCTGGCCAGGCCTGGGCCCCACCCTACCCAGCAGGCACTCTGTTTAGCATTGCCCTGCACTTCTCCCCCGCCTGTAGCCCTCGGGGCAGGAGGGTGGTTGTGGTCTAGAGCTCATTCTTGTGACCGCATCAGCCATCAATGCTGACCTAAGTCTGGGATGGGGGGGCTGGCCCCTCTCAATGCCATAGACCTGGGCCAGGTCCACCCTGATGTGATATCACCCAGCACTATACTCAGCTCCCCTCTGCTGCTTTTTCCTCCCATCCCATCTGCACCCCCAGTCAGGAGTCCCACAGTAAGCCTATGCTGCTGACTGTCCGTGATATACCCAGGTGGGCTGAGAGGCCCCTCAGGACAGTTGCTGAGTGAATACACCCTGCCTCTGCTGGCGGACCAGGGCTCCAAAGGGCTGGCCACCCATGGCACCTCTTCCTGTGTGACTGCTACCCTGGGTCAGATGTCACATGTGTGCTTCAGGAAACGCTGGCTGCCTTTGGAGCTATGCATGGAGGTGCTGCTGCTGGCGCTCTGGGAGCAGCAGCCTCACGCTGGCTCTTCAGTGCTCAGGGCAGTCGCTCCTGGGCGCTCTGTCACCAGCCTGCCTGGCTGCCGGGGCCCACCTCTCCTGGTGGACCTGCTCAGTGCTTGCTAGAGACTGCGGCAGTCAGGCTCCTGGGAATCTCTCTCCCTTCCAGGGCTCAGCAAGAGTACATCACAGAAGGTGTTTGCTTTGTACTGTTTCTGGCTTGCAGTGCCTACCTTACGATCTAAGGCAGCGGTTCTCAACCTGTGGGTCAAGACCCCTTTGGGGGTCAAATGACCCTGTCACCGGGGTCACCTGATTCATAACAGTAGCAAAATGACAGTTATGAAGTAGCAACGAAAATTTGTGGTTGGGGAGTCACCACAACATGAGGAACCTGTATTAAAGGGTCACAGCATTTAGGAAGGTTGAGAACTACTGCTCTAATGACTTGTCTGTAGCCATTTCCCAGGAGAATGAGGCACAGCAGGGCTTGTCTATAGGGTTTACCAGGGCAGCAGGCCCCGTGTCCCCTTCATGGAGGCAGATTAGGGCCATTTTCTGCTAAAGAGATTGAGAAGTCCTGCCAGGTGCTGCAGGATTAGCGATTTTGTCAGACACAGAACTGTGTCTTCAGATGGTGAAGGGTTTAGAGGCGCCTTTGCCCAGGAGCCCTCCAAGGTGGCCCAGTTAGTGTGGTGGGTGGGCTTCATCTCTGGGGTGTTTAGCTGCTGGCTTGGGCCTCCTGACAGACAAGTGCCTCTGTGGGCCTTCAGGGCTCAGACCCAAGGGACCGAGCAGGGCTGTGTGTGCCATGAGTGAGGGGCAGTGCTTTCTTGAGCAAGCGGCCCTCCGATGGGCTGCATGCCTGCCTTGATGTCCCCCTCAGGTTAGGGCAGAATCGGTGCGAGGAGGGAGGGGCACCGAGACCGGCCGGCCACCAGAGAAGAAGCGCTGCTGGCCACACTGGCACAGGAGATCGTCTCCTTTCCATGAAAACATGCAGAGATGTGGTGCTCACCCCCAGAGCTGTGTCTCCATCAGTATTCTAACAGGAAGCTCTGAGAGGAAGATGTCAGCAATGAATGGTGAGCGGGCTTAGCTGTTGGACAGCATAGGAGGTGATGTTGTCATCTGTGAAAGCGATGTGGCCCAATGTGAAGTGCTCATTGTTGGAAAGCATAAAATGTACACTCCTTATAGTTGAGAAAGTAGTGTACGTATGGACAAATAAAACAGATGCTTCAAATGGCTGGGTAGAACTTTTTCACCTGTGACCCTAATGGCATTAAGTCTAACATTTATTCAGAAGAGCAAAAGACCAAGCCTGGCTGACACCCTGAAGAACGAGGCAGGGAGACTCTTCCTACTGAGTGTTGGGCTTCCCGTCCCGTGGTGGTGTAGTGCTCAGGCAAAGGAGTGGACCACTTGACAGATGGGATAGAGTGGAGTCCAGGACCGGGTCTCCGTGTATGGAAGTCAGACCCAGAGTCGCTGTGCTGCAGGGCCCAGAGAAGGCCTGGGCCAGGGTGAGGGCTGGCCCAAGTGTGCCACAGGAGCCCGCCCTCTGTGGGGTGTCGCTCACAGCGCAGTGAGTGAATGTGAAAGGGACTCCTTGAAGAAGCTGAAAATCTGTGACCAGAGAAAAGATTTTTAAGACACACAGCACTTTCCATCACAAAAAGAAAGAGGAATTGGGTTGTGGTAAAGAATTGTGTTAAAAGTTCTCATTGAGAAGCCATAGCCTTGGGCTATGCCCGACCTGTAACCCAGAAAAGATGATGGCCAGGTGGGTGGGGACAAGACCAGGAACCTCCGAGAAGAGGAGTCCAGAATGGAAACAAGCATGAACTAACTCATTAGTAATGGGAACAGTAGAAGAAGCCCCCCCAAGGAATACCATTTCACAGGCATCCCCTCACATGTCTCAAGAGACCATACTACCAAGAATGACTGGGGACGTGGACTCTGAGGCACTGGTGGACGTGTGGACTTGATAGCGCCCTCTGGCCTCCTGGTCTGAACCTCAGCCATCAGCCTGGGGCCGGGCCAGCACTGGAAGCAGAGTGCTCTGAGTGCCGCTTTCTCTAGGCCCCTGCTAGTCTTTTGGGGCCTCTTCATCTCACGCAGCAGGGTTCTCACCACGGCTTGCCCTCGCTGGTCACCACTGCCCCTGCCCTGTCGCTGTGCTGAGCTGGATCCAGCTCTCGGACGCTACTCTCAGTGCTCTGCTCCAGCTTTTCTCTCGACCTTTCTCCCGGCCCTGCCTTCCTCCCAGGAAGCTCCGCAGAGTCCTTGTCCTCCCTCAGACCTCCTGAGGCCGGGGTCAGCTCTGCACCCCCAAAGGCACCCTGATTGGCTTGAACTTTTCTTCATTTCTCTCCACCTGAGCTCGTGAGCCACTTTGCCTCCCAGAGCAAGTTGAAGCGTCTCTTCTGACAGCCAGTTCAGGTTTTCCTTCCTGTCTGCAGTGACCATTAGCCCCCTTCCGGTATGATGTTCTTGATGTCATCCCACAGCTTAGTGTTTGGTTTCAAAACTCAGGTGAGATGTGCTCAAGCTTGTGAACTTGTCTTGATTCTCCTCACCTTTAGCCCGTGTGAGACTGCTGGTCTCTTCCCGACTGGGTCAGAGTTTCACAAAGGGAGACCCCTGGGAGGGAGGATCCACGTGTTTGTCACTAGTGTCAGGTGGAGAGGAGCACTCGCGGGTACGTCACACCGGCCAGCTCTCAGTGCAGTGGATGCTGCGGAAGGAGAGCTCCCTGGGGAAGGAGTGAGGCTGAGGCCGTATGGCGTCCTGGAGACATTCACAGTGAATCAGACATTTGTGGTTTTATGATCGTCTATCATCCTACAGCTTACGAGTCTCTTAAAACATCTTTGTTGGTTTATAAAAGTCAGTCTTGGTTTTCCTCACTGTATCACTGAGGTGGGACCCTTTTGGGGCCGTGGACTTGCATGGTAGCTGCTGGGCAATCTGAAGGGTAACTGCGCCAAGGTTTACCGACCAGCAGAGCCCTGTTGACACCGTACTCAGGCGCTCAGCATGAGCCCACCAGCTGCTCTTCCAGGGAGAGCAGTGGCTGTCTGCTTCCCTAAAGGAGGGTAACCCAAGTGGACTTTATGCCCCTTGCACGGTCAGTTGCTCTAGTCATAGGAAGCTCTGTGAGGGTCACTGTGCTCGGTGTGCCCGCAGCAGACCTGTGAGGCGTGGCTGCAGACCAGCCTGGGCTTTGCCCGGGTTGCTGAGCTAATTCCTTATTCTCCCCACAGACCCGAGTCGGCTCGGAGCAGGAGCACTTTCTCATCGTACCTTTTGGACTTCTGTACAGTGAGGTGACCGCCTCCAGCCTGGTAAGAGTGGGCTTCTCGGGCACTTGGGGTAGAGGGAGGGCCGCATGAGGCCATTCACCTCTTCAACCAGCTGACATCTAAAGCCCGCCCTGGACGGCTCCATGGCTTTGTGATGCCCTCAGCCAGAGAACGGGTTTAGTGCTTCCTAGCTGGGATGCAGCTCAGACGCCTCCACTGTCATGGCTAAGGTCCAAAAGAATCATGACCCCAGACAGCACAGGTCTTGACAAAGATGCCGGGAAATTATGCTCTGGATTGATTTTTGCTGGTGGAAATGCAAAATGATGGGCGGTGGGGGGTGGTCCCTTACCCGCAGAAAAATAGAATGGCCACGTGACACAGCCACTCCACTCCAAGTGAGGTCCATCCCCAAAGATGTGAGAGCAGGGGCTCACAACAGTGTGCCTTGATATGCAGGAGGTGGGAGGGAGTCTCCCAAAAGCCTGCCCACCAGTGAGCCGGTGAGGAGCGAAGCACCGCTCAGCCAGCTGGGGTGTGTGCATGTGGCCAGGATACTGTCCTGAGTGAAAACAAGTGACCCTGTCCATCTCATGCACATCAAAAGGCCACCAACGCGCTTTGGTGTTTACCAGGCTGGGGAGCGGCCCTGGTGGCACCGTGGTTACACGTTGGGCTGCTAACTGCAAAGTCAGCCATTCGAAACCCCCAGCCGCTCTTCAGGAGAAAGCCAGGGCTGTCCCTCTGCTCAGGAGGTGCAGTGTTAGTAACCCACAGGGCCGCTCTTACACTCTGACCGACAGGGTCTCCACCAGGCGGCGTGGACTCCATGGGATTGAGGGGGTTTGTTTTTGACCAAGGGTGGGAGAGAGGGAAAGAGGGGGTGGTGACCTTGGTGGAAAATCGCATTAAGGGTAGGAGGAGCTCCAGCTGATTAGTGTAATTATTATCAATAAATCGTACATCTGTAAAAAAAAAAAATTAACTGGCAAAACTTGTCACAGATATATTCACAGCTATGACCAAAAACACCCCCCAAAAAGTAGCTCCTGAGGCTACTTATGTCCAAGCAAACACCTCATGGGATCTGGCTCCTGGGTTTGGTGGTGAGGGTCCTGATTTCCAGGGCAGTCTGTTCAGGCCTAGCATCGTGGGTAGTGCTTCTCTTCCACCTCCTGGTTCCTTTGCTGCGTGGTGCCGGGCTGTGCAAAGCCCACTGTTAGACTCTGTTTGCCTGGAGCAACAGAGGAGGAGAGCTCGCTGCGGGGAGGAGGACATGAGTGTGTGGGGCCTGGCTGCCATAACCAAACACGGTGGTCAAGGGTTCTGTGGGAGAAAACGGAACAAAGCCTCACATTGCCCTGGACGCCAGGCTGCCTTGAGTGACAGAGGCTGGGCAAAGCTGGGTTGCTCTGGGATCATCTTTAAACATCAACCAAAAGCTTCCCCGAAGTCGTTTTGAAACCGACCCTCTGAGCCTGATGCTCAGCTTGCAGCAGGGGCAGGGGCAGGGGCAGCGAGTGTGCAGGAGGAGCCGCTCAGAGGAGGAGGAGGAGGGAGCATGGCTGCCCCTGGATCAGCAGTTCTCAACCTGTGGGTCGAAACCCCTCTGGGGTCACCCGATGAACAACAGTAGCAAACTGATGGTGATGAAGTCGCGATGACAATACTTTGATGGTTGGGGGTCCCCATAACCTGAGGAGCTGTATGAGAGGGAGGGGGAGAACCGCTGCCCTAGAGGATGCTGTCATCAGTGCCGCTGCATGGTGCCCACGGAAGCCCGAGGGTGGCTGTGTGTGTTGCTGTGCACCTTCTCTGTAGCAACCAAAAAGGGAAAAAAGCATTTTCTGGTTCGTCGTTTTGAAGTCCTCTTGACCTCTATCAAACTTTTGGTTTCTTATTCTAAGATTAAAATCAACCTCCAAGGAGACGTAGTCGATCGTGGAAGCACTAACCTGGGGGTCAACCAAGCTGGCTTCACCCTGCACTCTGCCATCTATGCTGCTCGCCCAGACGTGAAGTGCATTGTCCACATCCACACGGCAGCAGGGGCCGCGGTGAGTGGGCACCAGGCAGCTAGCTGCCTCGTCTTGTGAGATGGCTACCCCACTGCCTCGGAGCAGCGAGTCAAGAAGTGGGACCTGGCTGGACTACCAGAGAAGCAGTCCGTTTGACTTTCTGGGGACGTTTCTTTGTTTAAGGCGTTACCTATGTGGCGTAATTGAGGGAAAGAACCCTGAAAACGTCCCCTGCGACGTAGCATTAGAATTTCACTGCGTGCTGAAGCTAGAAAGCCAGGTGTTGAAGGGTGTTGGGAAGTGCAGAGTGGACTCTGAGCAGGGCTCCTTAGGTGCAGGGGACATGCTGTGGGGAAGGAGCTAGGGACCCCCACCAGCCACACCAGGGCTGCCCCATGTAAAGACACTGGCACCCAGGTGGTCTTGACTGGGGAGTCTAAGAAGAACCAGTTTGGAGGCACAGAGGGCAGATAGTGCAGGGCTCTGAGAAAGCCAGAGTGCCCCCACTTTCACCATGCCTGCTTTCTCCTGGGGGAACCAGCTGCCTCAGAACGACCCAGGCCTCACAGTGGTATGAGAATGGGTATTCTGACCATTTCTAATTCTAATTTCTAATTCTTGGTACAAAGTCGAGTAGGAGCAAATCCCTTTGGAACTCAGCCTGCTGGTGCCATTCTTGAGTTCATGGACCCATTTGTGCGACAGGTGCCCTCCACTTACCGTCTGCTTGCCATCTGTGTGTATGACCCAGTGGGGCCGTGTTCTTTCTGCTGATGTGTGTTACTTGGTCCGTGCTGTCTCAGAGTTCTGTCACGCCACACGTGTGGTTCTCTGAGTGGCGTCCCCTCCTTTAATAGAGGAGTGCGTGCGTGCGTGCGTGCTTAAGAACCTCTGAGAAGATAGTTGAAAGCATCTTCTGTTTTTAGTATCTTTTCTTCTGTTCAGCAGCAGTATGTTTTCAGAATTGCTGCTAAAATACTTTGGCATGGTAAGGGGCTCTTAGAGGATTTCAGGGTTGTAGTATTAAATTAAAAGTGGCACGGAGGTGGGGGACCAGCCCCCACCGCTAGTCGAGGGTTCAGTAAGTACAGTTGTATGGTTGAGATATATAAGTATTATATTAAAGTCATCAAGAGCATGAGAGATGATACAATAATACAGTCAGACATATTACATGGTAGCATTGCTCACCTCCGCCCCGCTTGGTGGTCCTCGTGGGGGCAACCCGGCTGCCAGAGCAGGAGCTGCCTCCCTCGCGGGAGCTGCCCTCTCGTCCACCGCCCTCATGGGAGCAGCCCCTCACGCGAGCAGCCCTCCTTCCTCAGCTGCCCTCTGCCAGCCACCCTCCCGAGAACCAGGGAGCCTCCTTATTTATTGCTAACCACGCATCATATTACTTTAGGGGGATACATCACAGCATTATGCATCACAGAAAGGGGCAGTACAATTCATCCTTGAACAGGTTTGATCATTCTGGTGTCTCATACAATAAAGCAGGCCATTACTATCCTGGGAGGCACGCAAGCCCCCTGATAGCAGATAACAACCTGCGTCATAGAGAGGGGTTGTAACATAGGCAATGCAAGCAATAGGAGGGGGATGACCTAGTCATCTTAGAGTGGTCCCGGGCTTGCCTTTGGGCACTGCTTCAAGGGAACAATAACAGAAAGGAATGGGCCCTATTTGGGGTGAGTCAGACTATACAGTCTGGCCGCTCTAGATGGCTGATGTTAAGGAGAATAACCTCTGACCTATTTTCGCTGCCTAAAGAACAGTCATTCTCAAGCTAAGTCTGGCATATATTTTGGGGAGACGAGTTAAGAGAAATCCTTCTGTTCCCCACACAGGGTGGCATCGTCTTCTTGGGTCCTGTATTCGGTGTGGCTGGTCTGTTAGAGCAGGCCCGGGAGAAGGGCACAGGCTGAGGGAGCACTCAGACTGAGATCCCCCTGGACCTAAAGAAGCATGGAGAGTGACCCCATTGACTTCCTGTGCAGCTTGTGTTCTGTGCTTGCGCCCCACCTACACCCTGCAGAGGCAGGACATCAGGATTTTGCAGCCTCTCTCCAGACATGACACGACTGACTGCTTGTCTTCTTAGCTCATGTGGGACTTACAGTGAGCTTGAACAGTGCCCAACACAATGAGGGCTTTGGGGCGGTTGGTGACTCTCCAAGGTTGTCAACAGTGCTTCTTGCGGAGTGCTGGGTGTTGGTGAGCCCAGCACGACGTTTGCCCAGGTCAGCTCATGAGCACATTCTCTCTGAGAAGGGCACAGGATGAAGTGTCTATCCCTGTCGTGGCCCTTTCTAGGTCTCTGCCATGAAGTGTGGCCTCCTGCCCATCTCCCCGGAGGCACTGTCCCTCGGGGAAGTGGCTTACCATGACTATCACGGGATCCTTGTGGATGAGGAGGAAAAGGTGCTCATTCAGAAAAATCTGGGCCCAAAAAGCAAGGTTAGTCAGCATGGACTCTGCTTGTGGAATTCCCCAGACCGGGAGGCTGTCGTGTGCAACCTGCTCCCTGGCTCACGGTTCGTGCCTGCTCTCCCCCAGGTCCTCATTCTCCGGAACCACGGGCTCGTCTCAGTCGGAGAGACAGTGGAGGAGGCATTCTATTACATCCACAACCTGGTGGTGGCTTGTGAGATCCAGGTAGGCGGCGGGTGGCCCTGTGGCATGCAGCTCTAAGGGTGTTTCTGGGCTTCGGGAGTCCAGAGCAGGGGAGCTTTTATCCTCCTCCTGGAAGAAGGAGTCTTGCAGGGGTCCATTTGCCAAAGATTCACACAGAGATTTGTGAACTGATCACGTCCAGTCGCATTCTCTGAGTTGAGGTGATGGGAAAGGATTCCCGCGCTCCCCCTTTTAGTTGTTGTCCACAAGCCCTCCCACGTGTGGGGTCCCCTGTCACACGCTAGATTCTGCTGGGTGCCACCACCACCCACACCATCCCTCTGACTTTGGGGCCTGCTGGGCACTACTGTGATGACCCTGGGGGACAGAGGGGTGGGAAGTCAGGCCCGGGCTCTGTGTGCCACACCAGCTGGGAAGTGGTCATTTCTCAGAACTGCCTCCCAGTCTATGTGCTGCCCTGTCCCCGCTGTTGTGTCCCTGTTGCCGACAAAGGTTAGCTGGTGGCCTGTGGCCAGCCCGCACTCACTGCCTAGCCTGTGGCTGCACTCCGTGCTCCCGGGTGGGACTTCTCCTGGCTTCCTTCTCTTGGGCTGGGCTCTTGGGGGGACTCAAGTCCTGTGCTTCTTGTTTTGGAAAAGGTTCGCACGCTGGCCAGCTCGGGAGGCCCCGACAACCTAGTCCTGCTGGATCCCGGGAAGTATAAGGCCAAGTCCCAGTCCCCAGAGTCTCCGGCAGGGGAAGGGGGCACTGGATCATCTCCCAAGTGGCAGATTGGGGAGCAGGAATTTGAAGCCCTCATGCGGATGCTGGACAATCTGGTAAGAATGCCCTGCTCGCCCTGGCTCGTAGGCAGGGTTAGAGGCCAGCAGGGTTCTGCCCAGGGCCATTGGATTGGATATTAGACCTTCCTTCATGGCCCAGACTGGTCAGGCTGCTCTGTCCCTGGCCCCTAAGGAAGGTGTTAGTTGGGGGAGCGGCCTCCCTTGCCTGGAGTGTGGTGGTAGCGGGAATGGGTGATTGTGCGGGCCCTGCTCCAAAGCACACCTGGGTGTTTGCGTACGGGCAGGAGGTCACTTCAGGGCCTCAGGCTCAGGGTGGCCCAGCCCACTGGCCTGGCTCCTGTGACTGTTCCGGCCTCTTCTGTTGGAGCCTCACTGTGGAGCGGGGCAGAGTAAGATATATGCTCGGCACTGCCCGGGACACTGCTCGGGGCAGCCTTTGTCGTAGCTGCCCCTGAAGGAGAGGTTGTGGTTTTACCAGCGGTGGGTCATAGAGTCTGAGGATGAGGAACGGCGCAGGCCCCCATTGCACCTCAGATGCACGCCGTCCACGTGTCCCGAGGAGCCCACTGCACAGGAGATGCTTTTTCCTTTTCAACGATTTGGTTGGCACGGCCATCAATCTCATGGAAGCAGCGATTGTGAGGGTGGCGCGGAGCGGGTGGCGTTTCCTTCTGTGATACGTGGTGTCGCTGTTAGCTGGAGCACACACGGGCCTTGCAAAACAGATTCCAAAGAGCACTGATTGAGATTACACCCCTCATTTTAAAGGTGATTCTAAAATGGATTGGACAGTTCTTGATATGATTGAACAATTAAACTATTGGATATGTGGATTAGGTGCCAATAAAAATGGGGAGATAAAAAAGAGTTGTGCAGTTATTACCACAATCAGTTTTGGAATATTTTCTTGAATCTTGTCCTCATTATTGGCAGGAGACTTTAATGATACCTGCAGTGAGTTGAAATGCTCAGTTGCTTTAAGAACCCCCACAGCCGCTGTTAGAAGTGCTGTGAGCGTGTCCCCGACCTGCGCTAGCACACAGGACTGAGGGTGAGGAGAGACAGGAAGGGCGCCTTCCAAGGGGCTGGCCTCTGGACTCATCGGGAAGTCAGGCCAGGGGCAGCCGACGGCGTGTTGCTGCCCCTCAGCAGACAGAGCTGGCCTCGGTAGTTCCATGAGGAAGCCTTTCTTGGTGTCTGGGAAGAGGCTCTGCAGGGGCTGTGGGTGCACACTCACTCCCCGGTGGGGCAGGCCCCTGCTTATGTTCCCAGGCTCAGCCCCTCGAGCTGTCACCATTGTAAGATAAAGTGCTGTGAATGATGTGTGCCCCAAGGGAATTACAGGCCACTCAGACCATCTCTTGGCCACACTTTGCCGTGCACAGCAAGCATGGGATCCTCCTGCCTGGGGTGGGGGTTGCGCAGGGTGTGGCCACCGCAGCCTGCCTGCCACAGCCACCCGCATTGACAGATGGGTGCCTGCTGGGGAGTCCATCAGGGAAAGGAAGCTGGCCGCTCTCAGCACTGCCTGCACTGCGGCCAGCAGTGAGTCTGTTCTCTTCCAAGTCCCCAGATGTGCGTACATTGTTCCCTGTTTGTTGGGTTTCAAAGCAGGTCCTGGAACAGAGCCACCCAGCCCTTTCGCCTCAGAGACTGGCCCTGCCCTTCACCAGGGCAGGCCTCGGGCTGCTTTTCCATCGACTTTGTGTCTGTGTGATTCCCCGCACTGCATCTCAGAGCCCTTTGTGCCAGAGAGCTGACTCCTACCCAAGCTAGGACCCCTGCTGCTATAGGTGGAGATTGATTCCAGGGACAGTCATGCTGTTTGCGAAGTGGGCGTTTCTGCTTGAGACCCTTGGCGAGGGTGTGCTCAGAGAGCACCTGGAGGCCCAGCTTATTAACCATCTTTCACTCTTCTTGGCCCCTAGGGTTACAGGACTGGCTACCCTTACCGATACCCGGCTCTGAGAGAGAAAGCTAAAAAGTCCAGCGATGTGGAGCTTCCGGCCAGTGTCGCGGGCCACTCCTTTGCTAGTGATGGTGATTCGGGCACTTGCTCCCCTCTCAGACACAGTTTTCAGAAGCAGCAGCGAGAGAAGACAAGATGGCTGAACTCTGGCCGGGGCGACGATGCTTCTGAGGAGGGGCAGAATGGAAGCAGTCCCAAGGCGAAGACTAAGGTGTGGACGAGCATTACACACGATCACGTGAAACCCTTGCTGCAGTCTCTCTCGTCCGGTGTCTGCGTGCCAAGCTGTATTACCAACTGCTTGGTCTGTGCCTCCTTACTGTTCATAGTTAGATGACGTAGAGCAAGCGGGCAGCTGGGCCCTCGGAGGCTCTGGGAGCCCAGCCTCTCCCCCTGGCCCCCAAGCTCCCTGGGGTCTCAGCCAGGGTAACCACCCACCCAGGACTGCTCTCCACCTGAAACTGCTTAAGATGGACCGACCTGGTCAGCCACCCAGCCTCATCCACAGGACTCACTCCCTTACCCACCGCAGCCCTCCTGCAGGGCCTGCCGGGCACCAGGCCCACGGGGCAGCTCCAGCTGCAGGAGCCTGGCACACGTGGGTGGGCAAGCCCAGTGGTGCCATTCAGCCCCTGGAGTCCAAATGGCCGCTCCCGGGTATTCTTAAGCAGTTTCCCTGCCAACCCCGCTCTCTCTCAGAGCCCTGTCCCCCTTCCTGTCCTGTCCCAGAGCCTCCGAAGGTCACAGCCAGCTGCCCCCCGCATGGACTGTGCATGTGAGTAGACGGCCATGAGTGGGGCGGGCCCTCGGACCCCGTGGGTGTGGCATGGCCCACGTGCAGTGCTCGGTGACCCCTACTGCTCCCTACAGGACCTCAGAGGGGAGGCCCGGCCCAGCCGCCCTACTCAGGCTCCCTGGAGGGCATGGGCTGAGGCAGGGTCAGCTCTGAGAAGCCGATGACTCTCTCGTCCCTGGTAACCGTGTCACTTTTTAGGGTTATTGTTTCAAAGCTGTGTCTTCTGAGGTGGTTCTGGTGTGTCCCCGAGGACCCCTTGGTGCGGGGGAAGTCTCTGTTGTAGGGTGGAGACCTGCGTGAACTTGGCTTGTGGGAGCCACCCTCTCTCCTTTTCTTTTTCCTCCTTGTGCTGAGCTCTGACCCGTTTTACTCCTTAAAGGGGACGAGCCTTCACAGAGACACTGCGTGCTGGTGTCCGTACCCGCCGCTGTGGTGCCGTCGGGTGCATTTCCCCAGGCCTGCTGGCTGGAACACTGCGCACCGCTAGATGGGCTAGTCCCTGTGTGTGAGGACGTGCTGGGGGAGCCCTCGCCTCGCCCGCCCGTCCGGGGCCTTGGAGGGTCCGGCCAGCGGCCCCTGACCCTTAGTCACGCAGGCACAGGCCCTGCTCTCCGTCTTGCAGACCACTCTGGTGGGGGTTGCCAACATTCTGACTAAAAACTTGTTTTTGACACAAAGCTGGAGTGGGTTTTCTCTGAGAAGAGAATCATCAGTGAGTATCCCACGGCTCCATGTCCATCCCATGTTTCCTGTACGGCGGCTCAGCTATTTCCAACTTGGCTGCTTTTTTTTGAAGTCTCACAGTTTTGGCTAATCTCATTGCCTCTTGAAAAGGCTCCGGCAGGCATGACACCAACTCTCTGAGACCGGCTTATTCTAAAGCTCAGTGCTTCCTCCTGCCCCCAAATTTGAATTCGGTTGGGAAACGCACGTGTTTGATTGGAGACCAAAACAGACAAACAGCAGCATGAGCATGAGCGTGCCCACGAGGGGCGGCAGGCACTGAGCCTGGAGACGGCGTGAACTGAGGCTTACCAAGTGCTTGGAGCTTGTTTGGGATATTTTTGTAACACCTAGAGTGCTCGAGTTATAGAAAATATTCACCATTGCCCAACTCGGTCCCCTCCCCGCCCCTCCTGCAAGCAGCAGTGCTGCCCCAGGCTGAGGCCGTCAGCCAGCCAGCCAGCCCTGCCTGCCTCCTGAGGCCCAGCTCTGGCGATGCTGCTCCACCTCGAGGTGCACCTGGGTGGTCACATCACACCGCTTCTCACAATCCTGTCATCTCATGCTTCCACTTGGCTTGGCGTCTCCTGACTCAGAGCGGGGAACCAATGGGCCTCTAAGGACCGCCCTCGGCGCCTCCATGCCTGCCCACAGGACCGGAGGTTTCCACCAGGCATCATACGCCCCTGCCGGAGACCCTGCCCTAGTGCTTACACTGCCTTACTGCAGTGACCCTGGGGCGTGCGCATTGGTTCAGGTCTCGCTCTGGGACGTTGAGTGCATGCCCAGATGTGACATACGTGGGGTCCTTGGATGTTGTGTGCCATTTGTCCTTGTCACAGTGCTGATTTCTCACCTGTTGTTGCTATTCCAGTGGACTAAAGAGGATGGGCATAGAACCTCCACCTCTGCGGTCCCTAACCTGTTTGTTCCACTGAACACTAACCCCAAAGAGGTCCAGGAGATGAGGAACAAGGTACGTCCCCCTTGTCCGTCCCCCTTGTCCGTCCCCTTCCTCCGCCCCATCCCCACACTCACGTTCACACTATCGACGTCGAGACGCGGGCCACAGGGCCACCCCAGACTCTTCATATGCCTGTCTCCATGTCCTCAGATCCGGGAGCAGAACTTGCAGGACATCAAGACGGCTGGACCCCAGTCCCAGGTCCTGTGCGGTGTCGTGATGGACAGGAGCATGGTCCAGGTGAGAGCTCAGCATGTCCCTGACGTTGGTGGGTGGTGGCGCTAAAGCTGGGAGCGTGACTCTAAGGTCAGCGTGCAAGGCAACTGCTCTCTGGTAGAGGTAACAGCCACTCCGCTCAGACCTGGGTCAGCACAGCATGTCCGAGACCCACATGCCGCGTGAGGCGGCTGCTCGGGGACTGGAGGAGGGTGGTGGCAGCTCCAGCTGTATCCAAACGGCCCGTCTGTAACCTAGTGTTGCTTGGGAAAATGGCATGGGGAGTCCTGGGAACAGGAGAGGCCTCACTGAGGGCCCTCTTTGTGTGTACGGGCGCCCCTCCTGCTTCCGACAGGGCTCTGCGGGAGCCCAGTCCTGCCTGCTGCCCGTGCACGCGCCGTCTCTGCCGTCCAGGGTGACTCCTGCATGCTTAGCTTCTGCGTCTTGGGCCCCGCTTGGGCGTCTTGTGACTCAGTTTACTGTTGCAGGATGCGCCCCTCTCTGACTGTACGGAGACTATCGAAGGGCTCGAGCCCACAGAGCAGACCGTTAGTCCCGCTAAGTCTCTCTCTCTTAGAAAGGTACTCACCCAGCCCGCCTGCCCCCCGCCCCCCTCTCTAGGCCTCGTCTCAGGTCTGTGGCCGGCCTCATCCTCACCCTCGCCCTTGCCCGCACAAACACTTGTCCGAGGTGGGGCTTCTCCTGCTAGTGGCGTGCCTCTGGGCTGCTGCTGAGAGCCGGCTTGTGAACATGGGGAGTGACTGACCCCGCAGCCTGCTTCCCACTGGGGCCACGACTGTTTCAGAGTTCCCAGTGGTTTCCGAGGCCCAATCTTGGCCAGCCTTGCCACCCTGACTTGCTTGGCTGACGACCGTAAACACGAAGAGCAAGTGCTGGGGCTCCTCCCTCTGACTGAGGCACCAGGCAGGAGGGAATGAGTGCATGCCATCCCCTGCACCTCACCGAACTTCTTCCCTGTGTCACATGGCGAGCACGCTCCTGAAAGACTCGAGTGCACGGGCCGACCACCCGGAGATGGCCATCGTCAAACTGGAGCACCGCTGCAGCCTCCTCCCTGGGGCAGGATGCTGCCCACGGGGAAGGGAAGCCGTGAGGGGTGCTGAAGACTGTGCGTGTCACTGTGAAGGGGCGTGTCACTGAGTGGTGGCCACAGAAATGACCACGTGGCCATCTGTGTTCTCAGTGGCAACGAAGATGACCTCCAGACAGGCAGCCCCTCTCCCCCCACTCCACCCCGTCTCACACCGGCAACAAAGAGACCCTGCCAAGGCCTGTTTTCCAGTGCCCTAGGGACCCAGTGACGCATGTCCTTTGACACCCTGGGCTGCCCTTTTGCACACACAGGGGTGACGGGAAGGAAGGGAGCCTCTCTGTGCACATAAGCCCCCTCCCGGGTCATCTGCCACTGCAGCTTAGTACAGGTGCCAAGTCTTGCCTGGGACGTCCCCTCCATCTCCACGTTCTCTAGGCTTCTCTGTGGTGGAGGTGCAGCTCCCACTGGCCGGGACGCGTGCCAGGGAGGCACACAGGCTCCACCAGCGAGGAGATGATTGTTTTCTGTGGGAGTGTTTGTCCCAGGCCAGTGGAGCCGGCCCCATGGCTCCAGGCAGAGCCCAGGAGCACAAAATTCTGGTGATGCTGGCGAGGCAGCCACTCTGGCCTTGGTCATGTTGTAGCTCTGTGCCTCTGTGCCATTGGGCCAGCAGAGGGCCTGTGGGCAGGCTCAGCTCAGCTCAGATGGGTGTATCCAGGCCTAGGGAGGCGATCCAAACACTTTGTTTTTTTTTCGAGAATTCCTGGGGTGACTTCAGACCTAGGTGGAGACGTTGCTCCTGAGATGACCAGTCCTGACAGAGCAAGTGTCCTCTAGGTGCTAAGGAGCAGGGCTAACTTGTGCTTGGAGCCTTGGGACACTGGTGGCCTCCCTGCTATAGGATGCTGCTGCTCTGGTCCAGGGCTGAGGTGAGGCTAGGATAGTCAAGGAACTGGGAGCCTGTCCTAGGACACTCCCTCCCGGCCAGCCATGGGTGACTGCCTGCTTCCAGTCAGAGAATCTGAGGAATGGGCAGTGTGAGGACCAGCATGGGGGCTTTTCTGAAGGCCTGGGCCTCTTTCTCGAAAGCTTGCGGGGCAGTCCTCCTGCAGTGGGGCTGAGTCAGAATGGACTTGGCGGCAGGAAGTATGGGTTGGAGCCTCTCTCCGTTTGTGCAGGTTGCTGTGGGCGGCTGACAGGGCTGTGAGGGTTGAGGTTGAAAACCACCCTCAGGACTGACTGCTGTCACAGGGCTTGGTCACAGTTAGGCAGCGGACGAGTTGCCCAGCAGCCTGCACTCTGGCATGTCCGATTGGGGCCCACGTAGGAAGGACACACGGGATGACTGCGTGTTGAACTACAAACTGCAAGATCTGAGGTTCAAACCCACCAGCTACTCCGTGGGAGGAAGTTGAGGCTGTGTGCTCCTGTAAAGAGTTACAATGTCAAAAACCCTGTACAGGGACCCTGTGCGTCAGAATGGACTCGATGGCAGTGGTTTGGGGTTTGGTTTGGGTTCAGAAAACAGGCAGCGGGGCCCTGCTGAAAGATGGCGGCCAGTCACACCTGGACACTCCTCAGAGCTGTGCCTGAAGCCACTTGGAGTCCTGCTCTTGTGGGCGTCCTTGCACCCAGTGGACTCTGCTGAGCGGTCCCCCTGTGTTCCCGACCCGGCGTCTGGACAGCACTCCTTGTGGGCTCCTGATTGTTAGCTTGGGGGTTCTGTTGGTAGATGGAAAGTCTGGTGCCTAGGCCAGGCGGTTGGGTTAGGGTCTGCCCTGCATTGGGTGAGGCGGGCACCACTATGGCCTGTGGGACTCACTGACCGCCCCACCAGCCCTCTGCTCTGCACCTGGAGTACTGTTGCTGCTGCCCTGCAGAGCACAGGCCCTCCCGGCCCCCGCTTGGACTAGGGAGCTGTGGGAGCTGAGCCCACCGAGCCCGCCCTTTGACATCCAGACTCGTGGACACGGGAACTTGTCCTTGTACTGACTTGGAATTTTGCTTTAACGGCACTGAAACATCTCTCTGAGACTCTGTAGTGTCTTCTCAGCTTCACTGGCTACACTAGACTTCAGAGTCAATGGGTACTGTTGACTGTTTAGAGACGTTCACAGAGACCAAGGTTTGGCCAGTGGGCAGGAGGGGCTTGGGCCAGGTCCCAGAACTGGCCTGTGGAAGGTGTGTCAGGCCCTCTGCTAAGGAAGACACCTGTTGACCTTGGGTCCAGCACCCCCTGAACCATCTGGACTAGTCTCTCGGCTCTCCACACAGACCTGTCCTTTCCTGTTCCCTGTGCAGCCCCCGTCCTGCTTGTGTGACAGTTCGCAGGCCACCCTGCCTACTGAACGCCCCACCCCTGGCCTGCCTGGTCAGTGCCACCTGTTGTGCTTTGCTTGCTGGCTGGCTTCTCTTTTCATACAAATTCAGTGTCCGAGTCCCGCTGGCAGACACTGGTGTTTAGGGGCATCTTGTCACCTGTAAACACTTGGGGGTAACGTACTAAACACAGAGTTGGGAGGTGAGCTGACCTCCAAGTACCCTTGCCTGGGGCTAGGTCCCAGGGCACAGGGTCACAGAGGCATCATTGGAGCTGTGACCCTCAGGAGAGTGGGGGAGGGGAGCCTCCTGGCCCTGTATGCCTGCACTGCCTCAGCTTCTGAGCCCTGGGGGGCTGTGGGGCATGTTTCCTGGTCAGCATCTTCTGTCAAACATGCCCACGTGTTCCTGGCTCCCTGCTTCCAGAGACTGCAGCCAGCCTGAGTGAGGCCTTGGCCCAGAGCACGCCGCCCTGCCCTGCCCCCTGCCCACTTTGTCCATGAGGGGTGGAGTGCCGGGGCTGGTCCCCAGCTGACCCCTTGCCCTGCTGCCTTCAGGGGGAGCTGGTGACAGCCTCGAAGGCCATCATTGAGAAGGAGTACCAGCCCCACGTGATCGTGAGCACCACAGGCCCCAACCCCTTCACCACGCTTACTGACCGAGAGCTGGATGAATACCGCCGAGAGGTGGAGCGGAAGCAGAGGGGCTCCGAGGGAGGTGAGCACCTAGACTGACACCCCCCCACCCCCTCCCCGGAATGCTAAGGTCAAGGGCACCTCCTCCGGTTAGGCAGGCTCCCACAAAGCCCAGAGTGGGCAGCCTTCTCTCCCCAGGGTGCCCTCCCAGGGGCCAAGTACCCTCTGTGCAGAGCCAGGCTCGGTTGGGCTGACTATGGAGCCCCAGGACCAAGGGTGTTTCCTGTCCCCCATCCTCAGTTGCCCGTGCCCAGTCATATAAACTGCACCTCAGAACCCAGGATGCTTCCCACCATGTCCCCCTGATGCCCTCCCAGGGTTCAGTCTGCCCTGTCCCAGGTCAGAATGGACATTTACCCATGTGTGCCTGGCTGCGGTATGGGCAGAAGCCCTGTTTCTGTGCACCACGTGTGAGTCGTGTTGGGGCAGGAGAGCAGACCGTGGATGTGCACTGCAGTGTGGAGTCTGCCCAGGACCCCCACCAGCCCTATAGCTGTGTGCAGGCCTCTGGTGGGCTCAGGTCCCAAAACGGTGACCCCTGTCCTCCAGGCATGGTGCTCACAGTGTCTGCCCCCACAGAGAACCTGGACGAGGCTCAGGAGCAAAAAGAGAAAAGCCCTCCAGAGCCCTCTGCTGCACCCCAGACGCCCCCCAGCACCCCAATCAATCTGGAAGAAGGTGAGCACTGGGGAGAGTGGGGGCGGCACTCGTCAGCCCTATTCTAGTAACAACACAGGCGCGCGTGGCCGAGCTGGAGCCGGATGGCATGCTCTGTCCCGACGGGTTCAGCAGGGTGTCTCCGAGCACCACACCTTGACCTCCGTGGATACCCAGACCCAGGGGCGGGCTCCTGCTGGGATGGCCCCTCTTCCACCCGTGGGACTCGTGTTGCCCGTGGCCTGCACATTGCCTGCACCTTGTGTCCAGGCCACAGCTCTGAGAAGCCTTCACTGATTGGCTGTGTGGGACTGTCTGTCCGCCTCTCCGGCCCCCACGTGTCTGTGGCGTGGCATGGCATGGTGTGGCATGGCGTGTCTTGTCCCTCGGTGTGCCCACCATGTCTCCTTGTCTGTAAAAACGTGCACTCACCTCACCGGTGTCCATCCGTCTAATCGTCCGTGCGTGCGGAGGGCTCGCTGGCCCTCTGTGTCACTGGCTGTGACTGAATGCCTAGACTCTCTTGTGCTTTTTCTCTTTGTGGCTGCGCTGCGCACGCAGGAGGTGGATGTGCTAAAGAGTACCTGTTACCATAGTAAGTACCGCCCACTCACCCCGCTGCCAGCACCAGCTCGCGCTTTGCCGCATCCTCCGGGCCGCTTTGTTGTTAACTTGAGTTTTGTTTTCTGTTTACTTAAAACAAACATAGTAACCCCCTTTTGCCCCTCCCCCCTTTTCTGGGCGGTGCCCTCCTGCGGTGCTCGGTCCCCTGGGGGCCATGTGGTAGGCCTTGTGCCTCTGCTCGGGTGTGCACGCCCTCAGGCTCTGTGCTCACCTCCTTCCTGTTGGGCTTCAGGGAGCACCTGACTGCTCGCTCGCTGGGATGTGTTTGAGCGGGTCTGGCGGGTCGAGTCTGCCTCTAGGTGCCTGGGGATTGGATTGGCCTGGGCCTGTGCTGACCCAAGGCATGAGAGCAGCTTTTGGCCTGCCCTGGTGTCATGTGACCTCTGGTCCAGCCTAGCAGAGCCCTCCCCTGAGCACCACAGGCAGCCTCCGCCCGTCGTCGCTAACCAGCTTCGCAGAGTGGATTCTAACTCCTCGGGGTGGGCGGGCCACAGCCTTCCTTGGGCTTCTGGGTGCAGGGCGACCCCAGATTCCCACATTCGACACTGGGCTTGGGGGCCAGAGCCTCCTGGGGCCACTCCCCACCGCATAGGCTGACTGGTGTGTGAAGCACGAATCAGTTGTGGTTGGCTCCCTCTGGACCCTAGGTAACATGGGTGCTTCCTGCAGAGAGGCTAGGGCTGGCCCCTATGTGTTGCTGTGCCCCAATTGGAGGAGGCGGCTCAGGGGTCCCCAGCTCCTGCTGTGACTGTCACTCAGGGTTTCTCCTGCAGA